CAACAAGTCAGCTCCAGCCCATTACTCCACGCTTCTGCCCAGCCCGTGGCCCAGTCCCTGCCATTAACGTTCTGAGATCCACACACAAATTCAGAAGCCGTTTTACCAATACATCGGCACTCGTGCGTCCCTGTGTCCCCACTCCTCCTGTCATCATCTCCAGGGAAGTTGGACTAGTGGTCCAAGGGTAGCCCTCTGGTCAGCTCAGTCTCCACCCAGGTACATGACAGTAGTCGAGAGGCCAAGATGGCGTCCGTCCCAATGGTCGCAGGGCCCTACTTCTTCTTTCCAGGCTGTGAGTCGAAGAACAAGATTTGGAGGGCATAATGGAGAGCACCGGGAGAGGAGGAGGTAAGTTCCAAAGAATGATGGATGCAAAAGGGCCGCAAGATGGGAAGAAGGATGTAGTAAGAGTGCAGGCTAGCTGAGCTTGGCTCGGCCTCTCTACATCCCGGCCACACCCCCTTAGATTTGTTTCTAAATGGCCCGGCCACCAGTCTGTCCTTGCGGAAACCCTACCAGTAGAGCTGTGCCGTTTGATAGGCTGACGTGGTTGGGACCATTGCAATGTAATCAAATTCCTGCTGTCAGTCAAGAGGGTGACCTACAAAAGAAGGCACTACAAATTGTCTTAAATAGATCCTGTCGCGTCTCTAGATGTTTTAAGTCAGAAAGTCAGTGAAATCTAAGACGTATACTCCCCCCTTCAGTGGCATGTTTCTCATGCCTTCACTCGTTCCAGCAATGCAGCCTCAGAAAGCCACTTAGGCATCTACACTCCTGGAGGTGTGAAATTACAATGTTCTCTGTCACACACTGGTTTCTTCCTCTAACCCCTTTTGTTAATGTTAAGTTAAAGGAAGCACACACGCAGGAACACAGTCCTGAAAGTGTGAAATGCTGAAAATGCTTTCATCTGCCTGCATCTCTGGAATGGGGGAGAGTAAGGAAAAACAAGCTGCCAGAGAAGAGAGTATATGCTTTCTTCTACACTAAGGATCTGCTGGCTAAAACCATTTAGAGACCTGACAGGGTCTCTTTAAAGTGTATGTCAAGCCAAAAAAAATTTTCCCCAGTCATCTTCCAGGACAGCCTATGAGAGTGTGAGACTCCTCCCCCCAACAGGTAACACATCACCATTCCAGAATAAATGGACCACTGCCACAATCCCCCTTCAGTTATTTTGTTTCCTCCATCCGGAGGGGATTCATTACCATATAGAGCTTTCAGGGGCTGTACCTAGTGGTGCAGCGCTGGTGAGCAATGGCCCCAGTACCTCTCCTAAAGGCTGCTACGCTACAGGGAATGCCCCGGCTACGCTGCCCTCTCAGTATTTGGCAAGAGCCAGTACTGGGAACTGCGTGTCTCCCCTGGTGTGACTGCCATGGTGCCTCCTGGCTAGCCAAGCAGTTTCAGTCTATTTCATCATGCCAGTACTGGGGTCGGAAATCTCAATGTTCCTGGCAGTCCAGTGGGCTCAGTTTCTTCAGAAACCACTCCAAAATTTTATTTTGAGGGTTTGGGACCGAGCGCAAAGTACCCTAGACAAGAAGAGAATTCTATGAAATCTTTGGTCTTTTCCCCATGTCCCAGAAGCTTACAACAGATGCCAGCACCTGGGGATGGGGGTGTACATCTGGAAGACCATTTTGTTCAAGGTCAGTGGACAAAAATGAAAGCCAAGGCTTCAACAAATTGGAGAGAACTCAAAGCAGTACTAAATGTCCTTTTATTTCCAGGAACTGCTGAAGAGCCATTACATTCTGTCTTACAATATAGCGACAGCGGCCTCCATAAACAGACGAGGAGGTGCCAGGAGTCCTTCACTACCGGTGTTGGCGAAGGACATTTTTCTTTGGGGGGAGGAAAAGAATCTAGTTTCAATCTCGGCAACTTATCTCAGGGGCTCCCTGAACAGTATTGCAGACGTTCTAAGTTGCTAACAGGTGCTACAAGAAGCATGGAGGTTAAATCAAGAGGTTTACAACCTTCTAATAGAGCAATGGGGAACACCAGAGCTAGATTTGTTTGCTTCAGAAATGAATGCCAACGTAGCAAATGTATTTTGCTCTGAACCCTTTGGACAGGGTATTGCCCTATCAAACCCCTGGAACGGCAACCTTTGTTACACATTTCCTCCCGTTTACCAAAGTCATATAGAAATTTCTGCTAGAAGAGACAGATTTGATTCTAATTGCCCCTTATTGGCCAAAGAGGGCATAGTTCACACTTCTATCCTTAACAGTGTTCCCACCCTGGTTCCTCCCAGAAAGAGAGGACCTCTTGTCCCAGGGGCCAGTCTTGCATCCAGGAGTTTTGGACTTGAAACTGGAAGCCTGGTATCTGAAGACCTACTAAGGTCTAGAAGTTTATCAAAAAGGGTAATTCAGACCCTGCTTAGTAGTCGCCAACCCGTGACTAGAGCCATATATGGGAAAGTGTCATGGATCGGGGCACACAGGTATGAATTGGAGTCAGGTATGTGGACCCTTACTACTACACTGGCAGGGACACTTAGACAAAAGTGGTACTCTTGTACCAGTCTGGCAGCTTTAGGCGTTGGTCGACCACTCCTGCTGTTTCTTAAGCAGCTTCTCAGTCATCAATGCAGTCGGCTTGTGGCCAATCCTGTGGATCCTCCCTCTTCCTGTCTCCATTTAAATCCAGGACAGCGAACGACGCAGCCCGAGCAAAGCTTTCCCAAACTAGATGCCGAGCCCCCCATTTGTGATTGAACCAGAATTCCTGAAATTTTGCCCATGTACCGCAAACCTTTGGCTTGTCCTTGGATATCCCAACAGTCTACAGTCTGCCCTGTGCTTCGTTTTGTCCTTGGAAATTCCTGTCTACAGTCTGCCCTGTGCTTTGATTCATACCCTGTACCTGTTAGGTGAGTTGGGTGGACCTAGGGATTGTGACCTGGGGTCCCCCCCCCATTGCAAAAGAGATCTCAAGAAAGAAGTGGACTATGGAATATCCAAACATTGCATCCGCACTGTGTCCTGTACCCAATGGTAAGGACTTGCATATTCCAGTTCCACCGGAATCCTACTCTCTGGATGATAAAAACGATGAGGAGGATGCAGCTGATCCGGGGCCCTCGATGTCAGTGGACCCAAACTTTAGCCCACCGTATGCTTCTGCTGAACTACATCTAATTTAACAGTGAACAAAATGACCTGGTGAGGGAATTGCCTAAGAGTAAGGCAGGGCTACTCGGCTCCAGATTACAACAGTGGAACCTCTTGCAGAGTGATGTCAGGATCTCCATTTTCTGTGATCGCCCAAAAGATCTGGTTCAGTATTTCTTAGTGGCAGGTGATTTTGTTTATTGGAATGATATTGATTGACTTAATGTCATCCCTTAACATTACCCACAATCCAGATGAATGTAGATTGTTTATAGATGCATCTTAAACGAGTGTAAAAGCTGCTTTATTGCACAATGGCAATGTTGTGCCATCCGTTCCTGACGGGCATTCAGCCCACATGATTGAAACATATGAAAACATGGAACAGCTGCTGACGTGTATAAAGTATGAGGAACATCAGTGGCAGCTCTCTGGTGGTTTGAAAGTTGTTGCCCTGTTGCTTGGCCTGCAGAGTGGATAGACAAAGTACTGCCGTTTCATCTGTTAATGGGACAGTCGAGCCGGAGATTCTCATTAAGTCAAGAAAGACCAACAGTTCTGGGAGCCAGGAAAGGAACATTTTCAAAATACAGCTCTTGTTGACTCTCAGAAAATGTTGTTACCTCCATTGCATATAAAGCTGGGGATGTCAAAGAACTTTGTAAAGGCTATGGACAAAACAAAACCAGGTTTTAATATCTCTAGGAAAAGTATTCAAGACTTAGTGAAGCCAAAATCAATGAAGGCGTCTGTCGGTCCACTTCTCAGAGATGACAAGTTTGATCATCTGTTGCGCGGCAAGAAAAAGAATGTATGGAAAGCCTTCAAGTCTGTGGCAACAGAGTTTCTCGGGAACAGCAAGGCAGAGGACTATGAAAAACACGTGGAAAATTTGCTCAGGTCCTATAAAGAACTTAGTGCAAACATGTTACTGAAAATTCACTTATTTAACACGACTTCATTCATTTCGACTATTTCCCTTTGAACTGTGGGGCAGTGAGTGATGTGCATGGGGAGAGATTCCACCAGGATATGGCAGGCATGGAGAAAAGATACCAAGGGAAATGGAGTCTGTGCATGCTTGCCGATTACTGCTCTCCAAGGATGATCCTACTGCAGTTCACAAGAGAAAAGCCAAAAAGTGCCATTTAAATTCCCGAATAAAGACGGAACCTTGTCGTTTAATCTGATGTCAGAGCTCATTAGTTTTTCATGCAAAAAGCATGAAAATGTTACATGAAAAAACAATAAATGAATGTAAAGTTGTTATTGGTATCAATAAAAAGATACATTTATAATGATTGGTGTGACACCATTCTCATTGCTATATCACATTTTGCAGAAAAGTTATGGAGCATAATCGCACATCCCCCCTCGTAATTTTAAATTATTTTGATGTAATTTTGACCTGAAGCTATATCTTGGAAACTGGAGCCAATTAATACTCGGGACATAATTTCCCTTTTTATTAGTGACCCAATTCTGGTAAAAGTTAGCTATTTTCATTTCTAAGGCTTTCTCCTTGTAGACCGATGTAATCTGTCAAAAAAAAAAGCTCATTTACTTTTTCTAGTGTTCTGCGTTTTTACAACTTGCAACAAAACTCTCAGGTGTACAAAGGGGGCATTGAAATGAATGGTATTTATTGTGTTGAGTTTTGTCATGCTTCGATCAGGGACTTAGGGTACATCTCTTTTTAATGTAAAACAGGATTTCCAGCAGGAGTTCTAATATTTCCTCATTGTAGCCAAAAAATGCCTTTTCGCTTGGCATAAATGTTAATATTTGTGCACTATTACATGCAGCTCTTTTTAATAACTTCATACCCATGTGGTACGTTTGTAATGGATGCATTCTTTTCTTTTTCAGTATGCACTTCTTCCTGATCATTACAAATTCATTTTGGTAACCCTACTCATCCTGATGTCTGTGATTGAAGTTATTCGACTTTTTCTTGGATACAGTGGCAACCTGCAAGTAAAGGTGATAAAAAAAAAATTTAATTTATGTTGGCTACAAAATGGACCCACTTTTTCAAGTGTATCTATACCTAAAAAAAAAAAATAACGTATTGCAGCTTACCAGTCCTTCGATGTGGTGGCTACATTTTCTTTCTTATATTTTCACTTGGTGATTCTGCCATTAACACACTTGCTGCCCTAGAGTGGCCACACTCATTCACCCCACTGTATCAGGACAACAGAAAGAGGACAGAATTGTTATGTGTTTATATGAAGCACTGAGATCTTGAGGTATGCTGCATTAGGTTTTACTTGCTTATTAGAACTTTATATCGGAATACAGCATTGTAAAGTATGCACATAGAGGGTAACATTTGCACTACATTGCCATCTACAGCTCAAAAGACATTTAACATCAAAATGTCAGTAATATGCTCTTGTATTTCCAACAAGGATTACAGGCACCACCTCCTTTTCATAAAATGGATGGGTGGGGTTCTGTAATCCTCAGAGAGAGCTTCAAACATCTTGTAGCTCCTACCGTAAACCAAAGAAGGAAAAGGTGTTCAAATCCAAGCTATAGTGCCACACCCCTAATTTTAATTTGAAAATAGATGAAGATTCCTAGATACAGAAGAGTTTCGGACGTTGCGGTGAGTTCAAGCACCCCCCCTCTAACAACCTAACCAACTCGGGTCCCCCTTGGGGGTCTTCCCCCCCCCAGGTTCCCCAACTCCCATACTATAATGATACACGGATAACTCCGACCTTTCCCCCAC